ACTATTCTTCCCTTAAAATTCCCTGATTTTCCCAACTATTCTTCCCTTAAAATTCCCTGATTTTCCCAACTATTCTTCCCTTAAAATTCCCTGATTTTCCCAACTATTCTTCCCTTAAAATTCCCTGATTTTCCCAACTATTCTTCCCTTAAAATTCCCTGATTTTCCCAACTATTCTTCCCCTAAAATTCCCTCATTTTCCTGTTTTTCCCCCTAAAATTCCCAGATTTTCCCTGCTTTTTTCCCTTCCCAATCTCCCCGTTGTTTCCCCAGGGGTGGCCCTGCTGGCCAACGCTCCCGAGAGAATTCCCGAGCGGAAGAGGCGCCCCCGGGATGGAATTCCCGCCCGAGCCGCTTCCCGAGGATCCAAACCCCGGCTCGGCTCCGGCTCCGGCTCCAGCTCCGGCTCCCAGCGGGAGGAGCAGCTGGCCAGCCAGAGGGTGAGAGGAGATGGAAATTCCCAAACTTTTATCCCAGGGAATCCCCTCCTGGGAATCCCGGGATGCTCTGGGCGGGGGAGGGGCCGTCGAATCGTCCCGTTCCCGCCCAAAATTCCAAAGGATTCCGCTTTCCCTGGAGCGGGCGGAGCCGACCGGGACTTGGGGCGTTCCCAGGGATGGGAATTCTCTGGGAATTCTGTCCCAGTCCCTTTCCCAGCCAAGGATTCCTTCCCAAATATTCCAAGGGCTGGGAATTCCAGCCCATTCCTTCCCAAATATTCCAAGGGCAGGGAATTCCAGCCCATTCCTTCCCAAATTCCAAGGGCTGGGAATTCCAGCCCATTCCTTCCCAAAAATTCCAAGGGCAGGGAATTCCAGCCCAGTCCCACCCAAATTCCAAGGGTAGGGAATTCCAGCCCATTCCTTCCCAAATATTCCAAGGGCTGGGAATTCCAGCCCATTCCTTCCCAAATATTCCAAGGGTTGGGAATTCCAGCCCATTCCCACCCAAATTCCAAGGGCAGGGAATTCCAGCCCAGTCCCTCCGACGTTCCCTGTGGGATTTGGGTGGCAAAGGAGCAGCTTTTCCATCTTTTTATTCCCATCCTTGGAGCAATTTTGGGAATTTTTTTTTTCCCTCAGGAGCAATTTTGGGAATTCAAATCCCATTTTTCCCCCCTCAGGATCAATTTTGGGAATCCAAATCCCATTTTTTCCCCCCTCAGGAGCAATTTTGGGAATTTTTTTTCCCCTCAGGAGCAATTTTAGGAATTCAAATCCCATTTTTTTTCCCCTCAGGAGCAATTTTGGGAATTTTTTTCCCCCCTCAGGAGCAATTTTGGGAATCCAAATCCCGTTTTTTCCCCCCTCAGGAGCAATTTTGGGAATTTTTTTTCCCTCAGGAGCAATTTTGGGAATCCAAATCCCATTTTTCCCCCCTCAGGAGCAATTTTGGGAATTCAAATCCCGTTTTTCCCCCCTCAGGAGCAATTTTAGGAATCCAAATCCCGTCTTTTTTTCCCTTTCAGGAGCAATTTTGGGAATCCAAATCCCATTTTTTTTTCCCTCAGGACCAATTTTAGGAATTCAAATCCCATTTTTCCCCCCTCAGGAGCAATTTTTGGGAATTTTTTTTCCCTCAGGAGCAATTTTAGGAATTCAAATCCCATTTTTCCCCCCCTCAGGATCAATTTTGGGAATCCAAATCCCATTTTTCCCCCCTCAGGATCAATTTTGGGAATCCAAATCCCGTTTTTCCCCCCTCAGGAACAATTTTGGGAATTCAAATCCTGTTTTTTTCCCTTTCAGGAGCAATATTGGGAATTCAAATCCCATTTTTTCCCCCCTCAGGAGCAATTTTGGGAATTTTTTTTTCCCCTCAGGATCAATTTTGGGAATCCAAATCCCATTTTTCCCCCCTCAGGATCAATTTTGGGAATCCAAATCCCATTTTTCCCCCCTCAGGATCAATTTTGGGAATTCAAATCCCGTTTTTTCCCCCCTCAGGACCAATTCTGGGAATCCAAATCCCGTTTTTTCCCCCCTCAGGAGCAATTTTGGGAATTTTTTTTCCCCTCAGGACCAATTTTGGGACTCCAAATCCCGTTTTTTCCCCCCTCAGGAGCGGCTGAGCCAGGTGCTGAAGGATCTGGAGGAGGATCGCGCTCCGGTGGTGAAGTTGGGAGACGCCAGCATCGCCGCCCCCTTCACCTCCAAACTCTCCTCCATCCAGTGCAGTGAGGCCCAGTTTTCCCTAGTTTCCCTCACCTTTATTCCCTATTTTTCCCTCCCCTTTATTCCCATTTTTGCCCCCTTTCCCTCCTCTTTATTCCCATTTTTCCCTATTTTTCCCTCACCTTTATTCCCTATTTTTCCCTCACTTTTATTCCCATTTTTACCCCCTTTCCCTCCTCTTTATTCCCATTTTTTTCCCTATTTTTCCCTCCCCTTTATTCCCATTTTTCCCTATTTTTCTCTCCCCTTTATTCCCTATTTTCCCCTCACTTTCATTCCCATTTTTCCCTATTTTTCCCTCAGGTTTATTCCCATTTTTTCCCCTCACTTTTATTCCCTATTTTTCCCTCCCATTTATTCCCATTTTTTCCCATTTTTTCCCTCACTTTTATTCCCTATTTTCCCCTCACCTTTATTCCCTATTTTTCCCTCAACTTTATTCCCATTTTTTCCCTATTTTTCCCTCACCTTTATTCCCATTTTTTCCATGTTTTTCCCTCACCTTTATTCCCTATTTTCCCCTCGCCTTTATTCCCACTTTTCCCTCCCCTTTATTCCCATTTTTTCCCAATTTTTCCCTCACCTTTATTCCCACTTTTCCCTCCCCTTTATTCCCATTTTTTCCCAATTTTTCCCTCCCCTTTATTCCCTATTTTTCCCTCACCTTTATTCCCATTTTTTCCCAATTTTTCCCTCCCCTTTATTCCCTATTTTCCCCTCACCTTTATTCCCTATTTTTCCCTCCCCTTTATTCCCATTTTTTCCCTATTTTCCCCTCACCTTTATTCCCTATTTTTCCCTCCCCTTTATTCCCATTTTTCCCTATTTTTCCCTCCCCATTTTCCCTATTTTTCCCTCACGTTTATTCCCTATTTCCCCCTCACTTTTATTCCCATTTTTTCTCTATTTTTCCCTCACATTTTTCCCTATTTTTCCCTCACCTTTATTCCCATTTTTTCCCTATTTTTCCCTCACTTTTATTCCCATTTTTCCCCCTTTCCCTCCTCTTTATTCCCATTTTTTCCCTGTTTTTCCCTCACCTTTATTCCCTATTTTTCCCTCACCTTCATTCCCTATTTTCCCCTCACCTTTATTCCCATTTTTTCCCTATTTTTCCCTCACCTTTATTCCCTATTTTTCCTTCCCCTTTATTCCCATTTTTGCCCCCTTTCCCTCCTCTTTATTCCCATTTTTCCCTATTTTCCCCTCCCTTTTATTCCCATTTTTCCCTGTTTTTCCCTCACCTTTATTCCCTATTTTTCCCTCCCCTTTATTCCAGTTTTTTCCCTGTTTTTCCCTCACTTTTATTCCCATTTTTTCTCTATTTTTCCTTCACATTTTTCCCTATTTTTCCCTCCCCTTTATTCCCATTTTTTCCCTATTTTTCCCTCACCTTTATTCCCTATTATCCCCTCCCCTTTATTCCCTATTTTTCCCTCACCTTTATTCCCATTTTTTCCCAATTTTTCCCTCACCTTTATTCCCTATTTTCCCCTCACCTTTATTCCCATTTTTCCCTATTTTTCCCTCACTTTTATTCCCATTTTTCCCTATTTTTCCCTCCCCTTTATTCGCTATTTTTCCCTCCCCTTTATTCCCATTTTTTCCCTATTTTTCCCTCACCTTTATTCCCATTTTTACCCCCTTTCCCTCCTCTTTATTCCCATTTTTTTCCCTATTTTCCCCTCACTTTTATTCCCATTTATTCCCTATTTTCCCCTCACTTTTATTTCCTATTTTTCCCTCACCTTTATTCCCATTTTTCCCCTATTTTCCCCTCCCCTTTATTCCCTATTTTTCCCTCCCCTTTATTCCCCTTTCCCTCCCCTTTATTCCCCTTTCCCTCCCCTTTATTCCCTTTTTTCCCCCTTTTCCTCACCTCTATTCCCATTTTCCCCCTGTTCCTCACCTCTATTCCCATTTTTTCTCTGTTTTTCCCCTCAGTCTGCCCCGTGCTCAAGCAGGGCCGCTGCACTCTGGTGACGCCATTGGCTCCCTCAGCCCCAAACCCCTTTCCCTCCCCTTTATTCCCATTTCCCTCCCCTTTATTCCCATTTTTCCCCCTGTTCCTCACCTCTATTCCCATTTTTCCTCTGATTTTCCCCTCAGTCTGCCCCGTGCTCAAGCAGGGCCGCTGCAC